AGCAAGTCACGGGGAGGGGCAGAGGGGGAGAAGCAGACTCCCCGCTGAGCATGGAGCCAGACACAGGGCTCCGTCCCAGGACCCTGAGATCATGATATAATTTGGATTTGCATTTCCCTAACGATTAGTGATGTTGAACATCTTTTTCTGTACTTCTTGGCCATTTGTATGTTTTTGGAGAACTCCCACCGCTCAGATTTAACATAAATGTTATGCATAGATGTACCCTTCTTTTGTACCCCTATCCCAATCCCATTGCTTTTTCTCCCCAAAGATGACAGCTTCTGTATTTTTTTACATTTTTACTATAGACGCGGGCATCCCAAAATGTGTGGTTCAAACATTTACATAAATTGTACCGTAATGTACAATTATTCTGCAGCTTTTTCTTGAGATTTTTGAGATTCCCAAGTCTAAATGTGAAGATCTATTTTAACTGTTAGTTAGGGTAGTAGCCATTCCTAATCAGTTGTGGTGTGTTGCTTGCGTTGTTTCTGTCATGAACAGTGTTGCACTGAAGAACCTTGACCTCTTATTTACATGCAAGCGTTTCTTCAGGATACCTATCTAGAAGTGGAATTGCCAAGTTGCAAATTCTGCTTCATTACATTATTGTCAAATTGCCCTCCGAAAAGATTGTATCAATTTGCATTCCCATCATCAGTGTAAGAAATATACCTCCCAATACCTGTTTTTTTCAGCCTTTAAAATTTTTGCAGTCTGATTGTTGTGAACTTGTATTATGATGTTTGCTCCCCCAATTTAAAAAATTGATAAAATGCACATAACGTAAAATGTGCCATCTTAACCACTTTTAAATGTACAGTTCAGGGCGCCTGGGTGGCTCAGTTGGTTAAGCGACTGCCTTCGGCTCAGGCCATGATCCTGGAGTCCCGGGATCGAGTCCCGCATCGGGCTCCCTGCTCAGCGGGGAGTCTGCCTCTCCCTCTGACCCTCCCCCCTCTCATGCGTGCTCTCTCTCTCCCTCTCATTCTCTCTCTCAAATAAATAAAATCTTAAAAAAAAAATGTACAGTTCAGAGGTGTTAAATATGTCCATCATGTTATATTGCCTTATGTGCACCACTTTCCATCTCCATAACTTTTCCTCTTGTAAACTCTAAAAGGAACTCTATACCCATTAAATACTGTCCTTCCTCCCATCCCCTAATCCCCTGAAAATCCCCATTCTCTTTTCTGTCTCTATGATTCTGACTACTGTAGGTCATGTAAGTGTAATCATATAGTATTTGTCTTTTGGCTTATTTCACTGAGCGTCATAATGTCCTTGAGGTTTGTCATGTTGTAGCATATTGCAGAATTTTCCTCTTTAAGGCTGAATAATACTCCATTGTATGGATATACCACATTTTGCTCATCCATTTATTTATCAGAAGACGTTTGGGTTACTTCCACGTCTTAGCTACTGTGAATGATGACGTTATTACCATGGGTGTGCAAATATCTCTGAGACCCTGCATTCATTCATTCCTTCATTCATTCATTATTCACTCATTTATTTACACATCCATTTATTCATTTATTTACATATTCATTTATTTACCTATTCATTTATTCATTCGTTTGTTTGTTTGTTTATGGTATATAAACCAGAAATGGAATCACGGGATCTTTTGGTAATTCTGTTTGTAATGTTTGAAGAGTTGCCATATTGTTTTCCATAGCAGCTGTGCCGTTTTACATGAACCCAAGGGTTCACAAGTTTCCAATTTCTCCACATCATTGTCAACACTTGTTATTTTCTGGTTTTGGGGGGATAGTAGTCATTCTAATAGGAGGGAGGGAGTATCTCATTATAATTTGGATTTGCATTTCCCTAACGATTAGTGATGTTGAACATCTTTTTCTGTACTTCTTGGCCATTTGTATGTTTTTGGAGAACTATCCAAGTCCTTTGCCCATTTTTGAATCAGGTTTTTTTTTTTTTTAACTGTTGGGTTTTTAGGAGTTATCTACATATTCTGGGTATTAATCCCTTATTAAGATTTAATTGTCATGAAGTTCAGTTTGTCTTTATTTTTTTTTTCTTTTGTTGCCCATGCCTTTGTTGTCCTATCCAGGAAATCATTGCCAAATCCAATGTCATGAAGATTTTGCCCTATGTTTTCTTCTTCAAGTTTATACTTTTAGGTCTTGCATTTAGGTCTTTGATCCATTTTGAGTTAATTTGTGCATGTGGTGTTAGATAAAGGCCCAACTTCATTCTTTTGCATGTGGATATCCAGAGGGAGAGGGGGAGAGATAATCTCAAGCACCCTCTCTGTCCAGTGTGGAGCCAGATATGGGGCTTAATCTCACGACCTGAGATCATGACCTGAGCTGAAACAAGAGTTGGATGCTCAATCGACTGAGCTACCCAGCTGCCCCTCATTGACATAATTTTTAATACATACAAATCTGTAGTTTTAGTTTCAGAACCTAATATAGGCCTGACAATCAAAGCCTTCATTTTGGAAGAAAGGTCTTAGGTCCCACTCAATCTCTAGTAAAATATTTTCACAGGCTGTAGTATTTTTATGCCATTTTTTAAAAAATATAAAGTGCCCCTGTAGCAACACCAGGATAGTTACAATTCATTTGAGGCCTCACCTGTAGAAAGAGGCGGTCATGGGACAGTTTGTTAAAACTCCACTCTCAGAATTTTTTTAAAAAGATTTTATTTATTTGACAGAAAGAGAGCATGCGAGTGCACAAGCGGGGCCGGGTAGCGGGGCCCTCTGCTGAGCAGGGAGCCCCATGTGGGGCTCGATCCCAGGACCCTGGGATCATGACCCGAGCCAAAGACAGATGCTTCACTGACTGAACCACCCAGGTGCCCCAATCAGATTTTTTCATCAATGCTTTTCCTGATCTTTGGTATCGTACTGCCAAAATCTGAAACCTGCCTCAAAGAGATCATCCGATAAAAGAAACAAAATCTAAAAGTGATTATTTTGGAATAGAACCCAGGAGATCAGAGTGGTTCAAGATTCCCTATTGGGACCATACTTTATATTTTACTGCAATGCGTAATGATTTTCAGCAAGAATTGCCAAAAATCCTATGTTGCATGCTTTCATACTCTCTGGTGACTGGCCAGAGAAGCTACAAAAAAGTTTGGGAGTCCATACCCTTTTTAATGCAAGTGCCCCCATAGGCTGAATTGCAGGATAAATACCATTCATTTGAGGCCTCGCCTGTAGAAAGCTGTCGTGGGACACCCAGGACACCTACTAGTTTGTGAACATCCCTGAGAAAGCATGATTTTGTAAAGATTTTATTTTTTTAAGTCCTCTCCGCACCCAACGTGGGGCTCGAACCCACAACCCTGAGATCAAGAGTTGCAAGTTCCACTGAATGAGCCAGCCAGGCACCCCAAGTGTGAATTTTTAATCCAGATTATACTTGAGTTTCACCAGCCTTTTTCATTGTATTTATAGGAAGTTGCAGCTGGTCAGCCAACAATCCTACCACCTCTCTTATCCTGAGTTTGTTCTCAAGCTATCTATGGCTTTGGAATCTCGCAAGTGATATTCCGTATCATTTGAAAGAATAATCCTGCCTCCTCCCTCCAGCTTTGCAGTTTCCAAATATCACTTAGAGTTTTTTATTCAGCTGAGTAGCTGAGTATGGACAGCAACCGCCTATAAAGAAAGGGTTTTCTCAAATACATGACTTAACACTATGATTTAGGAAGTAGATGTACTAAAATAGGCCAGAAAAAATTACTGATGGTTGGTATTTGTGATAGAAATCCATTCAATATAGAGCCTAGTTGTTGATCTCCCGCCAAATCAAAACTGAGAGCTGTGAATTTACTATATCCATTAAAAATAACCTATGAAATATAGATTTTGGCTTAGATAGAAGATGGGAAAATCAAAATCAGTGTATTGAACCTGCATGTTTCATTTGCTCACAAACTTATATACACTAAGATTCTACAAAAAAAACTATTGCACCAAAGAGAACTGCCCTTTTGATTTTTGCTTGATTTCTTCATTGACCCATTAGCATGCTGTCAGAAAACTGCCTTTTTGCAAATAAGCCTAAAAGTATCCTTCCAAAGAGACCTATATAAATATTCATATATAGATCTAAAGTATTACTGTTCAACATAAATGTTATTTCTAGAAAAAACTTAACAGCAGAAGTTAGAACAACCAACAATGTATGACCTCTTCAGCCACTAAAAAAACACCAAGTCAAAAAAAAATTCAAAATCACTGTTTTTATGATAATATATATAAATAAATATTGATCAAAACTGAGGAAGTAAATACCTGGATTGACACATGTCAATAGTTGGAAGAATTTTTGTTCAATTTAAATGTCTTATCTCTTAAAGAAAATTTAAGTGCTAACCTATAAAGCAGGCAAATTCTTCAAGTAATTTGCTGTTAGGAATGCTGACTTTTATAAGAGCTGAACAAGGAATGAGAATAAAATGAAACAGGAGGGTAGACACAGGGGAAAAAACTGACCAGTTGTAGCTGGACAGATGCTACTATATATAATCCTGGCCCATTCATTTCAATTAAATGCATGAGCTAACAGATTCGGTGTCTGCTAATTTAGTATACTAACTCCCTTAGATTTGCTAAAATTCCTGCAACAATCAGTAGGCACACATGAAGTCTTAAGGCAAAGACTACCA